TTCAAAACAAACAAACAACACAACCTGACTGTAAATGGTACGTTACAACCAAGTAATGTGTAAAATAGTCCGATTTAATTCAATCTGTAAACTTTCAACAACTGAGTAATATATTAAGCACGACGCCATGTTCAACTGATAATCTTTCTGTGAATAAGTTATCATCCATTCTTATTTTTGTAAATAGTCTAATCAAGTGTAAGTTTACTATATAAATGTCTTTAAAATAGTATAAATTTCCTAAGAGCAATTAATATCATGTTTAAAATGTACAGTGAATTCAAATTAAACATACTTTATAATAATCATACACGAAATTGTGGAATAAATAGAAACATATAACTATGCCGCTTGCATATTAAAAATATCGATCCCGAATTCTGCTTATATATGTAGAAAAATCCAAAGTGAAAGGGTAATTTCATTACAATATTTTAGTTTTTTTATCTCCGGATTTTACGTAATGTCTTGAACAGATTTAACAATGAAGAACGGGAAATTGTTGTTTTAAATTGTAAACATTTAGAGTTTGGTCTGACTTAAATAAAATCGAGGTTTATCATAGTGGGAATCCTAAATTAAATATTAATTGTTTGTAATGTTTCCAAATGTATATAAGCTTTCAAGGAAGTAATATATTTTTAATGGCCTCATGTATTACAAACAAGGATCTTTGCGGTAACATTACGGTCAAAGTTTTTATGTGAGGAAATCCTTATGAACGAAACATCGGCTATAAAAAGTTTCCTGTTCTCAAGTTGGATATCGGTCTTCGTAATTTATTTTGTTTTCTACAATGTGAATTACATTCTTTAAAGAAACACCGACGCCTTTGTATTTCTAGGTTTGAATCTAAGAAATAATTCTACTTTGATTTTAAAACAAGTGTATTCTTTTACTGTTTGCTTGAAGTATTATAAAATACAGTTTTTGGTTTACAACTTCACTACACCATTTTATTTCTCACACGTGATTTCCACAACAATGTTTCGATACAACCTGTCCTAACAAAACAACTCTTTTATGCTTCATCATATATCAAACAAAATGTTTCTATTTATCATGTCTTAAACTTACTTTTAGCTGAGATTTGCGTCTTCCCATCAAAGCATCCATTCATTTTAAAATGGGAAAAGACAGGAGAAAATTAGACCTTTTAAGAAACTGCAAATGATTGTAAAAAAAAAAGGATAACCGTTAATACAATTATTCCAATGCTATTAGTTCGTTGGAGATAGTTGTTTTTAATTATCACATGCCAATGCTATGTTTCAAGTATCCTATAGACTTTTCTGAAGCTTAATAAAAGTTTGGACCATAGAAAAGAAAAGAAAGAGCCTAAGAAAGAGAGTGAAGCCAGCTGTTTTATACGTAAGGCTATGGATGAATGGTAATGAACAATAAGATGACTGAATGACAAATGTAAAACATGTTCGACTTTTGTATTTCTTCTTGGCTAAACGTCGTAATTTCGTTACGCTGCTACAGAAGTTCAATAGAGCTAGCATTCTTTCTTATTTTCAAGTTGAATGTAAAAAGAAACAAAAAATTTAGCTAATAGAACAATTAGAGAAAACGTGACTGTACAGTCTGTTTTACATGATATGAGGTTTTGTGGTCTAAATAGCAAAAACTATAAAGCTAAAAAAATGTCTTTAAATGTAGAGTGCTTAATTGTAACTACAAATAGTACATAATGTATGTACAAAAAACATGTCGCAAGGCGCATTCTTTCAAAATTTCCTATTTTCAATTACAAAAGATAAAAATACAAAATTGAAATTCATGCATGGTATATTTTGCTTTCGTCTGAATTATTTGAAGGTGCGGTATTACTAATGCATTCTAAAGAACATTATTTTAAAAAGAAGGATATTTAATATAACTCTGTAATATGGACGGTTGAAACTTAGCAATTAATCTTAAGACGTGTGTTGTGGCTATCGTAAGCCCACGAAAAAGTAAGAATTTCAGTAAGATGATATATCTATAAAAAGGAAGGATAAAATAAAGTATAGAATTCACTGACGTTTCATGAAGAAATCCACGTTTTAAGAACAGTTTGTCAGGTAGAGATTTACCATTGGAAAATACGGATTTACGCAAGAACTCGGGTTATAATAAACACCATTGAGTTTTCTATTCCATATTTAGTAATTTAAACATTTGTGATTACTTAGTGATCAAGTTTCTACGATTACTTAGTGATCAAGTTTTGCTGTCGAGTAGTTAAGCACAGATCCTTTTGGTTAGTTACATACTGGACTTGTGGACTCGCTGATTAAAAAAACGTTCGCGAGAACAAAAAAAAAACAGAGCTGAATATAAATTTCAAGGTTTCCTGTTGTTTAAAATATTATTTATTATTTTCCTTTCTGTTTTGTAAATGGATAAATTATATAAAATTATCCTCAAAAACGAAATCATCCTTATAATTAAAAATGAAAACAAAATTAACAAACTAAAACATTAACTTTGGTTCAGTAACTGGATATATACTGTTTATATTATATCTAAGTACGGCTAATTTCACTTACAGTTTTCTTAATGTATATAAGTTACTTCTTTTTTAAGTTCTGAATCTGAGAAAATCAATAGACGATGAAAAATAAAGTTTTAAATAAATCTTCTCTTTAGTTCCTAGCTATTTGTGAACATCTACTGACTTTTGCTATTAATAACGTGCTGTTTACATACTTTAAAACAAAGTATGCTAGAACATGCGTATATATAATATATTTTATAGGACATACGTTTAATAGAACACACTTTTCATAAACATGCGTTTTGTAGAATATACTTTTTATAGTTATAGATCAATAGATTTTATAGAATGTTGGTTTAATAGAATATACATTTCATGTTACCAATTTCACTTTGTATTTTGAAACTCATATTAACGTATTACGAAACATAAAGATATCAATATCAAATGGAACAACATATAAGATATTTATTAAATTGTTTTAAATGTTTTAAGTGTTTTAAATGAATCATTAAAACAATAATACAAAGTCATATAAGTCAAAATAACGCAACAGGTTCCTTACCTGCAAAAATGATATGAAATGTGACTAGCATAAAATACACTAAGGTGATCTGTAGATTACGCATGGTCATTGGTGATGGTATATCTTCAAGTGAAGAACTTTATCAAAATCAGTTTATTTTACCTTTTGTTCTACCTAGAAAAGAGGGTCAAACGTTACACTATGACAGTTATAAATACATTCCTAGATGTATAAAATAAAACAAAATTTTTGACTTTTATTCTTAGACCTACAAAGACTGAATGCCATAAGTAGTGATCGATATTACAAAAAACAGTGGGTTAATCGTTTTATTAGTGTTTTACAAAACGCAGAATCATGTTACATTTTGTTTATTTGTTTTATGCTTTTGAGTAACTGTTTTTCATAACCTCGTAATCTGTACTTCATATAACATCAACTCAAACAGCTGGGCCAACAAATAACGTTATACTTATTAAATGTCCTGGAAGATGTTAGCGATAGAATAAGTAAAAGAAAAAAATGATGAAATACATTATCAGCGAGAATATTTTGAAAATTCTTTTTAAATAAATATCAAACATTTTATATAAACATTTCATCAGTTAGATTTTAAAAGAACGGAAACTCAAGCGCTTTCGAATAGCTGATAATTCTTCTTCAAGAGTAAAACGGGACATATTTTTGTAGAACATGCGTTCTATAGATTTGTTTGTTTGTAATGAAGCACAAAGCTACACAATGGGCTAACTGTGCTCTGCCCACCACGGGTATCGAAATCCGGATTCTAGCGTTGTAAGTCCGCAGACATACCACTGTGCAACTGGCCGTTTTATAGGATAAACATTTTATATAATATACTTTTATGAAACATACTTATAAAAGAAGTCTAGTCAGTTTTTCGAAAGCGCCCAATCTTCTGGGGCTTTTCAAATCTACTTGATTTTTGTTTTTGATACTTTGTTCTAATTATTTTAAAATTTCATCAAACTATTTTAAACGATATGCTTCCTAGTAATGCTCTTCCAAAGTAATAACACACTATCCCCACTCATATGCTAATAGGTGCAGGAAAACCTCTCTGAATTATACTTATATACACTAGAAGTACAAACATTAACTCCATTCTTGCCCCCAGTGGCACAGCGGTATGTCTGCGGACTTACAACGCTAGAATCCGGGTTTCGATACCGGTGGTGGGCAGAGCACAGATAGCCCATTGTGTAGCTTTGTGCTTAATTACAAACAAACAAACAAAACTCCATTCTTGTTCCTTATTAACTTCCACAGTAGCGCTTATATCCATGCGTGTGTGAAAAATTTAGTAGTTTACTTTTCTTATTCTGCCCCCCGCCCGCTCCTTCCCAGTGGCTGAGCCGTAAGTCTGAAGGCTTATAACACTAAAAACCGAGTGATGGGCAGGGGCATATGAAGTATTCTAAAGAATGCAAACTCCAGCCCTAGTATAAATACTAAGTTAACATTTAATAGAAGCGAAACATTGTGAACATTAACAAACACCCATACAGGAGGGGGAAGAGTTCAAAACTGCACCTGATCCCTCCCAAAGGTCGAGATTGATGACCGATGATGAACAGAACTGGGTGATGGGCACTGCGTATTTAGCCTATTGTGTAGCTTTGTGCTTAATAACAAACAAACAAACTCGTTCTGCGACATTCTTAAATATTTTCTTGAAGAAAATTTCTAATTGATATGGTTTTGGCTGCACATAAACACAATTTAGTTGAAGAATATAAGCTTAAGTACGTTATTTTAATGGGAAGAAAGCTACCATACAACGCAACAATAAAAACTTCTCAAAAAATGGAAAATATTTCTGGAATCCTTCATCATACGCGAAAGCTAGACCATTTAATTATTTGTTAAGGTTTAGTGTGCTACATATTACTTTGAATTTTCCGTTTTTTATATTGTTTTACCTTAAACGAAACAAAGTTATATAATCAACTATGGACAACTTAACCATATTACTCCCTCTTAACTTTTAAACTACAAACTTGCATCATAAAAAATGAAAAATAAAACGCTTTGAAAGTCTCCAAACCATTAATACATTAATTGTAAGTTGCCGAATAAATACTGAAAGCTATAAACTTAAGTTGAGAAATGCCAATAAAACCAAAAGAAACAACAACAATAAAATACCAGCCAAAGACATAATTGATGGAAGAAAGAAAAGTGTCATAAGGAGCATTGTTCTTACTAACTGTAATTAAAGTAGAGAAGTATATCATGAATTAAATTTCTGGTTGCATTGTTCTTATCAACTGTAATTAAAGTAGAGAGGCACTTTATATCAATTAATTCTAGGTGCATTGTTCTTACCAACTGTAAATAAAGTAGGGAGGCACTTTATATCAATTAATTCTAGGTGCATTGTTCTTACCAACTGTAATTAAAGTAGAGAGGCACTTTATATCAATTAATTCTAGGTTCATTGTTCTTACCAACTGTAAATAAAGTAGGGAGGCACTTTATATCATTTAATTCTAGGTTCATTGTTCTTACCAACTGTAAATAAAGTAGAGAGGCACTTTATATCATTGAATTCTAGGTTCATTGTTCTCACCAACTGTAAATAAAGTAGAGAGGCACTCTATGTCAATTAATTCTGGGTTCATTGTTCTTACCAACTGTAATTAAAATAGAGAGGCACGTTATGTATTAAATCCTAAGTGCATTGATCTTACCCACTGTAAATAAAGTAGAAAGGCATATCATGCATTAAATTCTAGGTGCATTGTTCTTACCAACTGTAACTAATTATTTATTGACACAACGACTTTGCAACAAAACGAAAAAAAAACTGTTAATGCTTTTAACTTTGTTACAAAATATGCATCAAACTTAAAGGTGAAGAATTTTAGCTATAATAACAATTACAGGAACATAATGCAATGTGTGAAGAAATAATTCGTAAAACATTTAAATCTTGAAAATCATTTAACGAACACTAATTCAAATACAGAAAAATATTAATAAAACTCATGAATGATTAGCTGCATTGAGTTTTCACTCGTATGAAAAGATATACAAATATTTTTTATGAAGTTTAAAAGTGTGGTTTGAGTTACTATTCACAAGTGAATACAGCATGAAGAACAGTTAAGAATATTAAGTACTAAGTGTAGCGGTTAACATATTCAGAAATCAAATCGATTCATTTACTGAAACCCGTACATAACACTACATTTAATTTGATACACCTATTTCACTAAAATGTTCATGATTCATTCATTTAATAAACTATACCTATTTGATCATATTAAAAAGTAGTTTCTGTTTGAAAAGGAATCGACTGTCACGTTAGTGCTTTTACCAACTTTAACAGACCTTTCCAGAATGACGTCATGACATTAGGTGATCTTGTTGTTTTCTACTAGTCAGTCATATTGGACAAATATATTTTTGGTAGTGACAAAAACTTGAAAATACCTCTTCACTGTTACCCTTTTGGATTCATGAATAGACAGTGTTCAGAACCAGTTTCCCCGCTGACCCAAAAGGAAAATCAATATGGGTTGTTGCAGTTATGAGAAAAACTGGGAACTATCACAGTATCCCAATATTTGCAGTCTATATTTTGTGAAAGATACCAGAATATACCTGTTTAATAATATCTGTATAAATTGAAACTTTGTCGTTAAATATGTGTATTAATTATTTTGAAACTACTGATATTCAATAAAAGCCCCATGTCACTTCTACAGGCACTAATGAGTAATATATGTAATTACAATGATATAGGTGCTGTCGTTATATTAGGCCAAAGTCAGTCAGGCACCATTTTATTATAGACCGAGAGGCATACAGGTAACATTACAACGAATAAATACTACTAATGCTTAGTACTGGTGAGATCAAGTTTTATGCTCATAATAGCGATTATGGAAAGAAGTAGGTGTTAGGAAAATAATATTCACTTTAGCAGTAACTAAGACATAAGTCACAATAGCTTTAATTTTCACAGCTGATACCTCTCCTGTTGAGAATAATCTATAACCATCCAAGTTTTTATAGCATTTTATATTTGCGTGAGTTGAATACCTGGTGGAATCAACAAGGCACACATAAATGTCACAATATCTGGAATGCGTGAGTTGAATACCTAGTGGAATCAACAAGACACACATAAATGTCACAATATCTGGAATCTGATCAGACAAACCACCTGCATGAATATTCACCATCTGTGAAATAATTACTAATCAAAACCAACAGAGTCATCGATGTAAAGTTATCTTAAGTTATTTTCATAAGCCATATTGGCATAGTTTTCAAGATTCAGAGCGTCTTCAATCACCTTTATCGCTACAGTTGTTACAAAACGATATATGGCGGGACGTCCAAATGGCGGATGCGAATGTTGTGCTTCTTGTAAATCACGTAATATGGAAAGGTATTTTAAAGTAGAGCTGCCATTTATGTATTAAATTCTAAGTGCAATGTTCTTACCAACTGTAATTAAAGTAGAATAGCACGTTATACATTACATTCTAGAAGCATTGTCCTTAACAGCTGTAACCAAAGTAAACAAGAACGTTTTGTAATAAATTTTAGGTGCATTGTTCTTATCAAGTGCAATTAAAGTAAAGGGACGGGCTATGTAGTAAATTCTTGGTGCAATGAGCTTACGAATTGTAATTAAAGTAGAGTAGCACGTTATATATTAATTTCTAGGTGTATTGTTCTTACCAAATTTAATTAAATTAAATCTTATCAACTGTAATTACACTGTAGAGGCACATTACCTATTAAATTCTAGCTGCATTATTCTTACCAACTATAATTAAGGTAGAGAGACACGAAATGAATTAAATTCTAGGTGCATTTTTCCAACTCTCAGTTTATTAGCTTCTGTCTATTTTTTTTAAGTTTCTGGTTTGTCAGTGATTGTTATATAATTTTGCATTAATGTATATAGTATAGCTTAAAGCTTTTTTATTTTTGTTAATGAAATGTTAAAGTATTATGAAAATTAGAACATGAGTTACATCTCTAGAAAATGTTTTTTTTTCATCAACATTTGTAACATTCAGAGTTATAAATATGAATGACAAAGATGACAACAGTATAAATGAAAAAGTAAGTATCGGTCTGTGTTATTGTAAGTTATGTTTGTAAATTCACGAAGTATTTCTGAAGTAACT